GGCCCTCCCCTGTAGGCCCGGTCCCCCCCAACTGCCCTCCCTTGCAGGCCTGGTCGCCCCTAACTGCCCTCCCCTGCCTGGTTGCCCCCAACTGCCCTCCCCTGCTGGCCTGGTCACCCCTAACTGCCCTCCCCTGCTGGCCTGATCACCTACAACTGCCCTCCCCTGCAGGCCATCTTTGACCACATGGGGGCAGCCATCTTGTGTGTTGGAGTGATGGTCAATTTGCATACTGGCTGTGGCTAATTAGCCTGTTCCTCTCTTATTGTTGGAGTGATGGTCAATTTGCATACTGTTGTGACTAATTAGTATATCCGGTCATGACTGTGAGGGCATCGTGACCAATTTGCATATTACCCTTTTATTACTATAGACTAGAGGCCTGACGCATGAAAATTGTGCAAGGGTAGGCCTTCCTTCCCCCGGCTGTCGGCACCGGCTTCCCTCTGGCACCCGGAACCCAGGCTTCCCTCCCAGACCCAGCTTCGACCAGAAGGTCGTCCGGAAGGACGTCCGGTCTAATTAGCATATTATGCTTTTTATTATAGAAAATTGTTATATTGTTGTTAATTATTATTATGTTATTTTGTCTCTTTGCAACATTGTAATTAATCGGACAGCACTCACACAAAACATTTCCATCACTGCAGAAAGTTCTACTGAACAGCACTTATCAGACTACAGGATAGTTAGAATGACTGGTGAGATAATGCATATCATTATCTCTAATTTTTCTTGGAAGTGCTTAGAAAAAAGCAATCTAAACCCAAAGTATTTTTTAATCTAGAACTTTGACATGTAACAAAAAGCTTGGCATTCAGTCCTATTTAACAAGTCAAATAAAAAGGGACTGGAGAATGAAAAGAAATTGTCTCTTTTATAAGGACCTCATCTCTATTCTGACAGATAACCAAACAAATGGATTTTTTAAATTCCCTTCTACCCTACCCTACTAATCTCTCTTCCTCAGCACATGTAGCATGCTTAGAAAATGCATTATTAATTATACTCAAATACAATTATCAATGTATTTTAAAAAGCAAAGTTATGACATAACAATATATATACTTCTTTAACACAGCAAATAAAGGTCTAGAGGTGGGCTCTGATTAGGTGGCTCAGTTGGTTGGAGCATCAAATGTACACCAAAAGGTTGCAGCTTCAATTTCGAGTCAGGGCACATACCTAGGTTGCGGGTTTGATCTCCAGCGGGGTACATACTGGAGGCAACTGATTGATGTCTGTCTTTCTATTACTATCTAAAAATCAATAAAGAAACATATCCTTGGGTTAGAATTTTAAAAAAATATATATCTAGGTGGGTCTAACAATTGTAGCCTAAACATTCTGAGATATCTGCAACATCTGTAATTTAACATGAAAGTATTCCTGATTTCTATTGGTAACAAAGTCACAGGTATTGCTTATACAACTGTGATTTGTTACCTATATTCAAAAATCAAAGAAAATGCTAAATCTCACTTAGAGGTTAGTGAAATAAAGATATGATTGGTGCCCAGCCGGTGTGGCTCAGTGGCTGAGCATCAACTCATAAACCAGGAGGTCACAGTTCGATTCCCAGTCAGAGCACATGCCCAGGTTGTGGGCTCAAGGAGGCATGCAGGAGGCAGCCAAATCAATGATTTTCTCTCATCATGGGTATTTCTATCTCTCTCTCCCTCTCCCTTCTTCTCTCTGAAATCAATAAAAAATAAATAAAAGATATGATTGATTGTATTCCATCTAAGTTTATGTACCCTGGGTTTTAAAAAAAAATTGCTTAAAAGACTAGACTTTAGAGTCACAAAAACCTGTAGTCAAACCCACCACTTCCTAGGTAGGTAATATTGGGGAAAAGTATTTAATCTCTCTACTTCATCTGTGAAATGGGAATAATACCTCCATAAAATGCTGTTATTTCATTATTATCATGCTACCTGACATAGTATTTGACATATTCTCAGTAAAGGTGTATACTATTATAATCAGTAACCAAGTTCAGTCAATTACATAGTTCACAATGTGCATCAGATACTCAGAGATTTCATATCTGTTGGTTTGGAGTAGATCCCAATCACTGGTATATTTTTAAAGCTCGCAAGTAATTCTAATGTGCAACCACAGGCCTAAGGACAAAGTTCAAACTCTAGTTTGGCACACTAGACACTTTGGTCACTGCTAACAGCTCTATATTTTAATCACTCTTTCACAGGTACCCTATGGTCTGAACATACATTTAACTAATGCTTCCTCACAAAGTGGGTTATAGTAGTGACTCTCAAACTTCAGTCTGCAGCAGAATCACCTGAATTTCTCATTCAGTCAGACTGGGGTGAGGTTCAAGGACTTGAATTCTAACAAATTCCCAGGTAATACTGACACTGCTGGTGCAAGGACCAAAGTTTGAAAAAGCAATGGGCAACACTAGATCACAACCCTGTCCCTTTGCATTCACCTGAAATACCATTCCCTATCCATTATTCTACTCTTGGCTAGCTAACTTTCACTTTTCTTTCAAAATTACATAAGAATTCAACTTCAGGAAGCATTTTCTCACTTCAACAAATCACCTCAACACATTTATTACCTAGTATAAAACTTAGATACAAAAAAAGAAAAAGTACACTACAAAATGTTCTTAATGTAGATATCTGCTAGCATATACAAATTCTTTTTAAGAACTGGGGGGAGGGGGAAGGCCTCCTTTGGTCAGGTGAATTAGAAAAAGGTGAAAAAGCAAATGGACAGTTCATCAAGCAAAATAAAATCTGGATTTCAGCCCCCACCAACGCCCTCGGCCAGGTACCTTTATGCAGAACACCAATTCCACAGTCATAGCAGCCCTGGCACAGCATACCAGTAAAACACAAAGGAAGAGCACTTAGACCAGCCCTGGATTTAAGAAAGGGAGAAAGGAGCAATCAGGAAAAGATTTTTAGAGAAGATGTCACCTAAGTTCTGAATCATGAATCACCTTCTCTGCACATCAGAAAGACAAAATATGCTTTAATATCTTTATACCCAGTGTATGCCTCATTGTAGACGTTCAATAAATGATTGAATAACTCACATTGAATAAAATTATATGAAAGCACTTGCTAATCTCTTTCTTCCCAAATAAAGAAGCACACACACACCAAAAGCTGGCACCAAAACCTGTAACTACTATCTCAATATTAACATAACTGGTCTGTACACTTACCAGCTAGACTCTAGCTGCTAGAGGAAAGCATGAACGATTCTAATAACTAGTTAAAGATGAGGAGGCAAAAAGAGCCTATTGATAACACGATTAGGTTGTCCAAACTAAGGACTTTCAAATCAAACATTCTACATGACCTGATTCAGAGTTGATTTCTTAATTATTTCAACAGATACTACAAAATTTAAAAGAATCCTGGAACCGACGCCCAAGACGCTAATTTTACAATGAAGAAACAGAGGCCAGAGAAAAGTAATGACTCAAAGACATTACAGGTAGTTAGTGCTACAGCTGTAATTAAAATTCATGTCTTTGGCCCTAGTTTTCACTCTCCTACCCCAAGCTGCCTTTACATTTTTAAAAAAAATTTAAAAATTCATAACTAAAATAAATTCTTAAGTTAATCAGGGTTTTCTTCTTTGTACCCCATTTTTATGATAATAAAAGCAATCATCTATCATCTCATTTTGTCTAGTAACTTTCAAGATATGTTTTGCTCTTGGTAAAGATTCATTCGTAGTCTCTTTAAAAAATTATACATAAAGCTAATAATTAAAAAATAATCCTCATACAACCATCAAAGTTTCTCAATTACCAAGAAAGTATTAAATTGCCTTTCTAGGATGCAGGACTTTCTAAGGAAAGACAAAGAGCCTGCTGTTTGAAATATGTTTAACAATAAGCAAAAAACTCTGGCCATAATCCTCATCTCTCAATTAACAAGAGTACTTCATTCTCTGACCATTCTCATTAATAAAGTTTTAATCTCCTAGCACAGTGGTTCTCAACCTTGGCTGCACATTAGAATCACCTGGGAATCTTTTTAAAATCCTGATTTCTGGGCCTCATCCTCCAGAAATTCCGTTTCTTTGTTATGGGGTGGGGCCACAACATTAGTAACAAAGAAAAAGAATTTCCGGAGGATGAGGCCCAGAAATCAGGATTTTAAAAAGATTCCCAGGTGATTCTAATGTGCAGCCAAGGTTGAGAACCACTGTGCTAGCTCTATGTGCTGATAAGAACCAATTAATTAAAATTCTTTACTTCTGGAAAATAACCTCACCATTTATTTAATTATAATTTCATTCTCCTTTTAATTTTAAGATTAATGCCCTTTGGATTTATGTAAAATGCAATATAATCTAACACTTAAACCCCACCTTTTAACCTTTATAGTAATCCATAAGAGGCATGCTTTTATTATTCCCATATTACAGAATACAAAACTGAGGTTTAGAGAGGTTAAAGAATTTGCCCAAGTTTATATACCTAGGAAGGGGTTGAGTTAGAATTTGAAACAAGTGTGACTCAAGTGCCAGGAACTCTCTTACATAATGAACAATGGCATTCTTTTTTTTTTTTTTTTTTAATTTTTATCTACAAACCCTTGTGTTGAGGGCTGACTTTCAATAGATAGCAGCGAGGGAGCTGCTCTGCTACGTATGAAACCCCGACCCAGGAGCAGGTCGCCTACAAATGGTTTAGCGCCAGGTTCCCCACAAACGTGCATTGCGTGAAGGGCGTGGGGGCGGCCCCCTTTCCGGCCGCACCCCGTTTCCCAGGACGAAGGGCCCTCCGCACCGGACCCCGGTCCCGACTCGCGGCGGGGAACAATGGCATTCTTAGCCACATACCATGTGTGTGACAGTGCTTCCTTCATCTGTGAGCATCAACTTTTTAATTATCCCTAGCAATACAAGGCACAGAGTAAGGCATTTTCTTCTCAAAAGTTAATTTAGAATCTACATATGTAAAACCCTAATATGCAAATAGACCGAACAGCAGAACAACTGAACTACTGGTCAGTATAACATGCACTGACCACCAGGGGGTGCGTGCGGAACATGACCGGCATTGGCTGCGGCGGGATGGTGGAACAGGTGAGCAGGGGTGCCAGACCAAGGCGGGGCACCGGTCACTGTCATCAGGGCAAGCCTCTGGTGGTTACTGCAAGTTCTTTGCTCCCACACGCCACAGTCCCGCTGGGCGCTCACATCTGCTGCTGGGACCGGCCCCTGCTCGGACCTACTGCCGGCACCTGGCACCACCCCAATTGCTCGGCACTGTCAGCAGGTGCAAGTGGTGGTTGCCAGCCCCGATCACCCCTCAGGGATTCGCCACCTCCCCCTGCTCCTGAGGGGCGATCGGGGCAGCAGCAGCCGCTTACACATGCTGACAGCACCAGCCCCACTCACACCCGCTGCTGGTGCTGGCCCCAATCGTTCCACACCATCAGCGGATGCGACCAGGGCCGCCGTCAGGGTGTGGGAGTGGCGGCAGTGGGAGCCGGGCTGCCGGTAGACAGGGGACCTAGGGCCAGAGTGGGAGGGGCCGGGCAGGGGTGCTGAGGATGGGCCAAGACCCACCCCTATGCCCACCACAGCCTCATGGTCCACAGTTCCTTTCAAGGTGCACAAATTTGTGCACTGGGCCCCTAGTTTAACAATAAAGTACAACACAGCTTAAGATGTTCTTTAGCTTTCATATTGTTTACCATCATAAAAATATCTACACATTTGCTACTTCATACTATCTACTAGAGAATGCAAAAGGCTTACCTCTCAGTGCTCTAAATAAGATACAAAAAATAATAAACCTGGTATAATAAGGCAACTCCCTCAGAGAAAATGGGAGGCATGCTTACTACCCATTATAATGATTTAAGTTTCCCCAACCCTAGTATTCCTCTCCTATGATACAACCCACTCATTTCATGTATAGGTGTCACTCTTCCACACAACTGTGCAAATTGGGGCTGATTCTGTGGCTACTGCTATTGCTATATAGTGTATTGTTCTTTATCTCATAGCTCCTACTAGCATCCAATTAAACTGTGGCAGGTTAACCTGTGTGAACCCTAAGAAGACACGTACTAAGAAGGGCTCATGGTGGCTAACTGGTCTCAAATTTTTAAAAACAACAGAGCCTAGCAGCCATTTTTACAAAGGGGCCTCTCATGCAAACTGCACTTCAGGGAGAAGCCTGCACTCTGCCATTGGACCCAGCCCTTAAAAAAGGAGTTCCTAGAATCCTATTTCAACCAATATGACTGAGGCTTTCTCCATCCAGTGTTGTGTACCTCTGACCAATCAGGGCAGCTCTATTCTGACCAATCAGGAGTGCCTTTTGGACCAATCAATCTTGGGTGACTTGGAATCCTCATTTGCATGAGGGCAGGGACTTCTGTCCATATAAGCCAGCTCCCCTCTGCTCTATAAGCACACTTTCCCTTTCCACCAAGACTGAAAACTGTGTCTCCCAGGCTGAATTGAAACACCTAAGATGTCCCACCAGAGCAGACCAGTACAGGCCAGAACAAACTGGCGCAGAATGGAGCAAACCAAATCACAGCAGAATAGACCAGCACAGAACAAAGCAGACCAGCAGGGAGCAGAGCTGTCAGGCCAGAGGGTCCTGGCCCCAGGACTGCTTCACAGCTATGCTGTATCACAGTTAAGCAGAATACAGTTTCCTTTTTTTTTTTAACCTTCACCAACCGCACCCCAAATTAGGGATTCCTATTGGTGTCAACCACCAACATGACACTTGCTAGCCTGCAAGTAGGGTATAATCTCAGGCCCTTCACAGACCTTGCTAGGCATTAGCACATAATCAATGTTTTTTTATAACTGAAAGAGATATTCCAATTCCATACTGCCAAAAGGATAAAAAAGCAAAACTCAACTATATGCTTCAAGAAGTGTATCTTAAATGTAAGGAAAAATCTTAAGTAAATGGATGGAAAAAGACATAGTATGGAAACAGGAAGCTGGAGAAAGTTGGAGTGGCTATGTTAATATCTGATAAAGTAGACTTCAAGACAAAGACTCCTACCAGAATAAATAGGGATATTTCATAATAACAAGGTCAACTCATCAAGAAGACAAACAATCATAAATTGTACATGCCTAAGAGCAAGCTTCAAAATACATGAGGCAAAATTTGACAGAATTAAGGGAGAAATGGACAATTCCATGGTCATAGATATTTTAACATCTCTCAGCAACTCATAGAACTAGACCAAACCCCACTGCCCTCCCTCCCCCTATAAACAGTAAAGACATAAATTATTTGAAAAGTATTACCAAAACGCCTTAATCTAATTGATATTTACAGAATACAACCCTATTGAAGAATACACATTCTTTTCAAGTGTGAAAGGTACATTACCAAGACAGACAATATGCTAGACCATAAAACAGGGTTCAATAAATTTAAGAGGATTAAAATCATATAGAGCAGCGGTTCTCAACCTACGGGTCGAGACCCCTTTGGCCAGGGGTCCTCAAACTACGGCCCGCGGGCCACATGCAAATACAAATATTGTATTTGTTCCCATTTTGTTTTTTTACTTCAAAATAAGATATGTGCAGTGTGCATAGGAATTTGTTCATAGTTTTTTTTAAACTATAGTCCGGCCCTCCAATCTGAGGGACGACAGTGAACTGGCCCCCTGTTTAAAAAGTTTGAGGACCCCTGATATAGAGCTTTCTATAAAGTAGACTTTGATGTAAAAATGTGTAATCATATATCCCACCATTTATTTAACCTTAAAAGGATTATTAAGAACTATTATCCCATCTTAAAGATGAGGAAACGAAGCACTGAGAGGTGAAAGAACCTGCCCAAGGTCGACCCTTTCACAGGGGTCGCCTAAGACCATCGGAAAACACATATATAATTACATATTGTTTTTGTGATTAATCACTATGCTTTAATTATGTTCAATTTGTAACAATGAAAATACATCCTGCATATCAGATATTTACATTACGATTCATAACAGTAGCAAAATTACAGTTATGAAGTAGCAACGAAAACAATTTTATGGTTGGGGGTCACCACAACATGAGGAACTGTATTAAAGGGTCGCGACATTAGGAAGGTTGAGAACCACTGATATAGAGGATATTCTCTGACCTCAAAATGAAATTAAGTTAGCAGTCAAAAAGATGTCTAAAATAACTCCAAATATTTGAAAATTAGACAGACTTGTAAGTAATCCATGGGTTAATGAAGAAATCACAAAGCAAACAAAAAAGGAATCGCAAAGCAAATTAGAAACAATTTCAAACTGAATAAAAACACAACTTACCAAAATCTATGGGATACATTAGAGGAAAATCTCTAGCTTTGAATGTTTATATTAGAAAATAAGAAATGTCTGAATTCTATCACCTCAGTTCCACCTTAAGAAGCTAGAAAAAGAAAATCAAAATACATGTAAGAAAAAAATTATATATAACAAAAATAAATGAAGAGAAAAGATGAATGGGAAAAACTGACAGTGTTATTATTTGGAAAGATATTGAGGCCTGGCTGGTGTGGCTCAGTTGGTTGAGTGTCGTACCATGCACCACTTCCTGGTCAGGGCACATGCCCAGGTTGTAGGGGTGTGTGGGGAGGCAACTGACCGATGTTTCTCTCTCACATCGATGTTTCTTTCTCTCTCTCTCTCTCTCAAAAAATCAATTAAAAAAACATATTTAGAAAAGATATCAAAATTGGTAAACCTGAATTAGACTGGTAGAGAAAAAAAGAAAGAACACATTAACAACCCCAGAAATCAAAGAAAAGTTATCACTACAGATCCTACAGACATTAGGAGGCTAACAAGGACATCTTATAAACAACTTATGTCAACACATGAGATGAAAATTTTCTTTAAAAATACAACTTAACAAAACTGACTTAAGATGAAACAAAATCTAAATAACCCTGCATCCACTAAAAAACTGAATGTTACCAAAAATCTTTTCATTAAAAAAAATTCCAAGTCCAGATGGTATCACTGGTAAATTCTAGCTAAAATTCCACAAAGATTATCAATCAGTATTGCACAAACTCAGTAACAGAGGGAACACTTCTCAACTTATTTTATGAGACTATCATAATCCTAACACTGAAACTTATCAGACATTACAACCAAAAAAACCTACAACACAATATCCCTCATGAAGAAATATCCCGAAATTCCTAACAAAATATTAAATATAAAAAGGATAATACACTATGACCAAGTGAGGTTATCATAGGAATTAAGATTAACTTTTTTAAGGTTATTTTAACTTTTGAAAACTACCATTTATTTATCCATTCTACCGCTGATTAACAGTCTGTTTCTAAATATTGGCTACTGCAAACAAGGTTATTATGAACATTTTTGTTCACAACCTGGTATATAAGATTTTCTCTCACAGGAATGTAGACAGAAGTGTAACTGCTAGATGTAAGGTACCTATTCTTCATTTTACTAGCTAAAACAAATTCATTTGCAAAATGACTTCAATTTACACTCTCCGCATTCTCACCAAAATTTGATATCAGGATTTTTAATGTTTGTTAATCTGATGCAAGTGAAATGGTTTCTTCTTATGGTTTTACTAGTATACTTTGCACTCTCTTGATTACCAATGAGATTATAATTCACTTTTCCAACTCTGGGTAGGTGAGTTATTAGATCAGGTAGGCAAGCTGCAACCAGCATTATTCGTTTTTAAAAAATCAGTATATCAGAGTGCACTGCATAAAATACTGTTTTGTGACACTTTTATTTCTATTGCATGTTTGTACTGAGTCACAATGTAAAATGTTTTGGTAACTGTGAGCTTCTAGCAAGTTAAAAGCCACTAGTATAGCTATTTAATTTACAAAACTCCTTAGAGACACGACTAACTGGTACATCATTTAGGCCCACAACACAAAGGAATGTATTTTATAAAAAAGGTAGGACTCACACTGGCAGGTATGGCTCCATTGGTTGGGATGTAGTCTAGTACACCAAAAGGTCATGGGTTCTATTCCCGGTCAGGGCACACACCCAGGTTGCAGGGTCCATACCCAGTTGGGGCACATGCAGAAGGCAATCGATTGATGTTTCCCACATCGATGTCTGTCTGTCTGTCTCCCCCCACCCACTAAAAAAGGTAGGACTCACACTGGCAGGTATGGCTCCATTGGTTGGGATGTAGTCTAGTACACCAAAAGGTCATGGGTTCTATTCCCGGTCAGGGCACACACCCAGGTTGCAGGGTCCATACCCAGTTGGGGCACATGCAGAAGGCAATCGATTGATGTTTCCCACATCGATGTCTGTCTGTCTGTCCCCCCCCCCCCCCTCCCCCCCCCGCCACACTGATGTTTCTTTCTCTCTCTCTCCCCCCCTTCCTTCCGCTCTCTAAAATCTTTTTTTTTTTTTTTTTTAAAGAAAGAAGGTAGGACTTGAAGTGTCCTTCAAGCACTAACTGGCAAGAACCGGGAATTAGAAGAGGAGGAAAAAACCTGATGGAAGCAATAAGGAAGGGATGTACTACATGGAGAAAAGATTCTATAAAACCAACTGGTCTAACTATGACCTACTTAAAAGCTCATTTTAAAAGAATCACATTTCTCAATAGGACAAGGATTCTCTCAGTATTTAAAGATAGGAAGCTGGGATCCTATCCTCTTAACTACCAAAACAACAGAAAACTGATCCCTCCTTCTCTTTAGACACAACCCTAATTCCTACCTCAAGATTCATCTCATCCTGGGGCTTATGCAATCTTTTAGGTTTTTACTTCCTAATTTTCCCTACAGAATATTAGAGCAGCAAGAATCATCTAATTTCTAAAGATTTATATTGTTATTCCACTAACAAAGATTGACCAAGTCACTACTGCATCACCTCTCTGTTAAGAAACTAAACTGTATCTCCCTAACAATTTTAACTACTGGCTATATCCTTTAAAGCAGCGGTCACCAACCAGTGGTCCATGGACCACTGATGGTCCGTGAGGTCAAAAAGGTTGGCGACCGCTGCTTTAAAGCTTGATACCCTTGCCCTGGTCAGGTAGCTCAGTTTGTTAGTGTGTCATCTCCATACGCCAAGGTTTCAGGTTCAATCTCCAGTCGGGGCTCACACAAAGAAGCAACCAATGCATAAATAAGTGGAACAACAAATCAGTTTCTCTCTTCGCCCCACCTCTAAATCAATCAATACTTTTTTTAAAAAAGCTTGATTCTAAAAACCCTCAATGACCCACACCCCTGTCTAAACCTCTCCCCTTGAGTGTGGGAAAGATAATATGGGATATAATTCTTGTGACTGCTAGATGGAAAACAGATTTTTGCATTTGTAGTTAAAGTCCCTAATCAGTTGATTTCACCAAAAAGGGGATTAACCTGTGTGGGTATGACCTAATCAGATGAGCTTTTAAAAGAGGTCTTAAAGGGGAGTCTAGAGATCAGAGACAGAGGAAGTCAAGAGACTCGTCAGGCTTGCATGGATGAAAGCAAGCAGCCATGTTGTAACTGCCTACATGGACATATGGTAAGGAACTTAGCTAGAAACAAAACTTCAGTCATACAACCAAAGAAATTAATTCTGCCAACAAGTAGTAAGCTTGGAAGACCTTAAGCCTCAAATGAGAATTGCAGCCAGCTGACATCTTGATTTCAGCCTGGTGAGATGCTGAACTGAGAGCCTGGTTACAAAAAGTACCCAGAGCTCTGGTCGGTGTTGGTTAGTGGTTGAAGCGTTGGCCCACACACCAAAGGATCTCGGGTTCGATTCTCAGTCAAGTGTGCGTGCCTGTGTTGCAGGTTGGAATGAGTGCGAGAGGGAACCAATTTATGTGTCTCACATCTCTCTCTCTTCTTCTCCCTTCCCCTCCCCCTCCATTCCTTCCACTCTCTCTAAAAATCAATGGACAAAATATCCTCAGGTGAGGATTAACAAACAAAAAAAAGTACCCAGATTTCTGACCTTTGAGATAACAAAGAGGTTTGTTTAAGCTGTTAAATTTGTGGTACTTGATCCAAAATCAAGGGGAAAAGATTAAAACTGTATATTTTTAAAGTCCTAACACTAAAAGGACTTTTTCACACACATATTAAAAACAACTACCATATAATTTATTACCTTCATTTTAGTGATGAGGAAAGTAAAGCTCAACAATGACATCCCAAAGATCACAAACCTAGGGAATGTTTAACTTCAGTCCAGTCCTCGCCCCTACACCATAGCCCCCTTAAAGCCATTCAAATCAACAGTAATTGTATTACTGTCTTCAAAGAAAGCAATCCTAGTAGCATAAAAATTTTCCATATTTCACATCTATCTGAATATCCCTTAGTTTTACCAGAACATCAAAACTAAAGAGGATACAGAGAAATTTTCATTCAAAAGCAATTTGGCTGTAAACATGACCATTGGTAGACCACTTGAATAAATTTAAAGTACATTTTGAAAATGTAGCAAAACACCTGTAAGTTTTCTAGAACTTTAGATAGCAAATAATTTGTTTTATTCTCAAAAACCACAAGTAAACAACCTTTCTGGATCTTTCAACATCCCACCTTCTAAAGAAATTTTGGAATCTGAATTCTTCATACATTATAAATATGAGAGCGTGGCACAATATATCATACAGTAAGTCGTTTATATTTTCACTGTTGAGGATACTTCCCTAAGTGCTGGAGCATCAGAATTTGCAAGTTTCTTGAAAACACACACACACACAGAAAACTAAAAGGTGGAGCTACAAATTCCACACAACTTTAGTTACAAATCACACAACTTTATGTCAATTCAGATACTTTCACAAACACTAACTTTATTTGCTAAGATGCAAAACAGAGTCCTTCCTAGTCACAGCCACGAAAAGGAATAAACTGTCATCTTAACACCAACGTTAAAGGCGAATAATTCGCTATAGTCACATACAAACACTAAAACATACAAACAGCATCGTTGAGATCATAAGCTTCCAAAACCACCCCATGATTTTTTTTATACGCCCGGGGCATGATTCTCTGCGATGTGAAGAGAACTGATACCATTTCATAGGGGTAGACGGGGTGAGGTGACAATTTTAAAACCTGGAAATTTTCTCCATCCCTACAGCACACAAGCAGCAGCACCCAGTTCAGATCCTCCAATCGAGGCCCAGGTCCCACTCCAAGCATTCCAGTTTCCCAGCCCTCCACCCCGCCCCCACCCCGAGAAAAGAGGGAAAACAACTTTTATTGGTCTCCTCTCCCGGGGGATCGGCAAACTAGCGGGGCCGTTTTCGGGCCTGGGCACGTTTCACGAGGAAGCCTCCGTCGGGGGCGGGGAGGGCAGATAGCGGGAAGCCTGGATTCGACGCCCCCTTTCCCCCAGTTGCCAGCTCCCAGCCCCACCCGACCCAGGAAAAGCCTGGGCCGGCCGCCACGCCG